TTTGTAATGAAATGAAATAAATTTGATGCTCCTAATTTAAGGCAGAAGAAATGTGTTGAATGAAACCATTTCGCGAACGAGTGCACAGACTCCAATTTTCCGGTTGCAGACGCACATACACGGCAAGCGGTGCGCTCGAAATTACGCGCGAGATGTCCGCGCAAAAACGCGTGTAAATTTGCAATCGAAACATGTGTGCTTCTCACGAACGCCTCTTATGCGGAGCGCCGCACGATGTATTTAGCGAGATTTTCGGGCGTTTCAGGGCGGCGCACGCGTTTCGGGCCGGCGCCCACTCGAGCTGATTTTAAATCCAACTCTTCAAATACACCGCGCGCCGCGCGTTTACCGCGGTCGGTCGTGCACCTCGTCAGCCTCGCGCGGCGCGAGTTTTACTATATCCTCGCAACGCCGGCTACTGACGTGCAGTGGAAGTGCAGGTGACACGTGTACGGCGGCGATAGTGGTGGCGGCGGTGGCGGCGGCGGCGGTGGCTAGCCACCGCGATGCAACGTGTGTACGTGTGCGCGTGTGTGCGTGACGCGACGCGACGTGTGTACACCGAGCGAATCCCATCGCGCGCACAATCGGACACCTGTGCGGTCGCACAGAAAATGACCGTAATTCGAGTCATTATTCTCGTTCTAAAAAAGGAGCCTCTCCGCCGAGACCGTACCGACTTCCGCTTGCGGCGAGCTTTCCGCTCCGCTGCTCGATCGCGCGTCACGGACAGGAGATGAATTGGAGATCGATGCTTTTTCATGAAGGGGCTTTCCGGGGCGAGGGGAGAGGGGAGTTAGGTGGTTTCTGCTGACTAGAACTCGAGATCCCTGTGCGATAACGAAGGATCGAATGTATCTGGGTCGCCAGTGTAACGCGACTAGCCTTACGATGAACGACTCGAGGTGTAAGCGATAAGGAGGTTTATCGTCGCCTCATCTACACGAGGCGTATAATCGGCAGGAATAATCCTGCCACAGAGCGCCATCGCGAGACGCACTGAAAGAAAGATTTGTTTGAAATGGGATCAATTGTTTGGTAATTACAACCGAAAAATTTGATTGTCACTATTTTGCTTTACTTAGCGATTAAGTAAATATATTTTCGAGAAAGTAAATAGCTGCAATTAAATTACTAAACATTTGGTTGATTCATTTTAACCAAATTTTGATTTCTTCAAATCCTTTTTTCGTTGTGACAGTGCGCGCGCACACACCCGGGAAAATGTCATTCTATTGTTAAGAAAAGTAATTACTAGATTTCGTTTTAAGTTGCCTTCAATAAAGAAGATTCCCCTAATAATAAAATAGTTAAAATACACTCGTCACACAAATTTGAGAAAAATTCATTGTTACGTCCTGAAAAAAAAACGATTCATTTCGCACTGAAAAAAAATGTTTGGTATTTATAACTGTAATCACAGGAGAAGAATAATTATTATTATAAATTATGGCTGAGAGAATCATTTTTTTTTGTTAAATTCCACTATGATGTTAGTGAAAATAACTTTGTATGGATATTACTATTACCATTTTTGTTAGAATAACCAAAAGATATGGTTAGAATACAAAATAGCTATAACCTTAATTGGATCAATCATTTTTTTTTTATTGAAGTGAAGAATATTATAAAATCTCATGTAAAAAAAAGTGTTGGTTCGACTCTGTGTGATAAGCAAACCAAATTCTTGTTTTAATTCAATATTCTGGATTGGAATGTTGAACTTGCTAGGATTCGGATTGAATTTACTATTTCTAACAAAGTTGTGATAGATTTGGGAATATGCGAATTTATGAAGTACGTGAATATGAAACAAGAAAAAATATCGGAACAAGAACTCACACACACTTGAATGCAGTACGTATTTTTCTGTGGGCAGCGCGTCGCTTTTTATTATTTTATATCAAATCGACAGTTTCGTTCTCCTCTTTCTAGCAAGTAAAATCGTCATTGGGCTAAAATTACATCCGGCAAAATTGCGAGGGTGAATTTTCGCTGGTCAGAAAATGTTTACACGCGGCGACACACGCACATCGCGTTATTTTATCGTTTATTATTTAAAATAAATAATTTGATATTTAATGAGCGCGATAAACGCAATAATTGGAGAATTAAATCGTACAAATTATAACAAAAATGTGTATGTAACACGGCAAATTGCAAATCACATCTTGCGGCACTTTCTGCGTGATTAATGAAGTGAAAGAATTTAATAGCGCGTACACACCACCTGCGCATTCGTTGTAAGATTCCACCAGCGATTCGATTATCTCAATAAAACGAGATCTTTCGCGCTCTCACAGCCGACGTCGTCCCCGACGTCGCCGCCCTCTCTCTCCGCCTGTCGAGCAGTTTCCAATATCCCTCGCTAATCTCGCGTGATTTTTTATCCACGTTTAAAGATTGGCTTCGTAAAGGGTTAATCGCCACTATTAACCGTAACCTTAAGCTCAGGGGCTTAACCTCCGACCTGTCTCCGAACGTTGCCACGGTGCTTCTCTTTAACGTCGGAAGTCTTGCCAAGACTCGGATAACGAAGGGGCGCGGTTAAGCAGCGAAAAAGCAGCTTAACCTCCTCGTTCCTCGACCATTTATTTCTTGATGACGTCTCGCTCGCAACCAACGATCGAACGATAACTTTCGTCGCTCCCGCACGATGATAAGAAGCGACCCTAAACAAAAGGGAAAACTAGATAACGGAATATCGCGAGAGGAGCAGCAGCTGAGAGATCACTGTTGTCGTCTTTTTCAACGTCGTCGGTGTCGTCGGCGTCTTCGTCGTGGTCACGTGCGTGACTTCTTTTAGCGCGTCAGGAAATTGAACTAGCAAAAATAGCGCCTTCGTGCGTTCGCCCTCACTTCCGCTTTCGCATCGCGGATAAATCGCCCATAAAGAATGCAACGCATCGTATATCAGTACAACTCGCTCCTAAGAAGCGGAGGTAAAAAAAGGAAGTAGGGAAAAAAAAGAGGTAGAACGCACGGCGGATACGATGATATCAAGCTGGCCGCTTCGTGATCGATACCGAAGCGGTCAAGAGACCGGGAGAAGGAGAGGAAGCGGGCAGAGAGAGAAGAGAGAGAGAGAGAGAGAGAAAGAGCGTCCGAGAAGCTCGGAAGGAGCCACGATAAATCTGTTTCTACGCGGAGATCATCGAAATTCCGCGGACGTAGGGCGCAAGAGAATCACGCACAGAGCGGTGAGAGGGCGGGAGAGGGGACGAATCGAAAACAGATGGGGATTGACTGGCTCGTGTCTTCGGGGCTTCCGCGCAAAGGGCGCCGTCGGACCCTTCTATGAGAGTGGCACAAAGGATCTTACGCGCGCACTCACGCACGCACGCACGCACGCACGCACGCACGCACCAACGCCGAGAGTCACGCGCAGGCCAGCCACACAAACCCATGAACATAACGGTGCGTTCGTGTGTGAGTGCGACGGACAAGCCGAGTATGGAGAGCGGTAGCTATTGTTACGGGTATTATTTGCCACTAATCAGAATGGGCGGTCGACTCGCGGCGGCTGTGTAAGTTTTACGCACGTGTGTGTGTGTGTGTGCGTGTGTGAGACGCGTGAGTATATGGCGATGTGTACACAGGGAGGAGAGAGGTGAGGCGGTAGCGCGTGTAACTCTCCCCCGTTGCACACACCACCACCGTGAGACACACGAGCCTGATTGTAGACCTCGTCGTTGACGTCGTCGTCGTCGTCGTCGTCGTCGTCGTCGTCATCGTCGTCGTCGTCGTCGTCGTCGTCGGCACCACGCCCTGACCCACGAGATTTTCAAGATATCCAACACACGACCCACAAGCCCCGCACTTTATGCGAGGTCAACCAACTCGACCCTTCGCTGTTACGAGCGCGATATCGATACAACGGCGGCAACGACGCTGCGCGGCGCACCAAACTTTCTTAACGCGCGCGCGACGCTAACGGCACTTAAATACGGATAAGGAAGAGGGTCACGGGGAGGCGTTTATTGCCCGCCTTAGAGCGATTCATTCTTAAAAGATGCGCATAGGAAAAATATGAGGAGTCTCGGAAGTCGCGCACGCACCATGAAGTCCGGGAAGCCCAAGTAAAAAGCAGTTGCTTCGATACGTCGGTTCGATTCTTTTCGCGAAAATCGCGAAGCGGAGCATTAACTTTCGAAATACGTGTTGCCGAGAAAATTGCCCGTCAAATACTTAAGGTCAAATAATTTCTTTGTTTTAATGTTTGGTAATTGCAACTAATTTAATAATTGCTGCTCTTTAGTTCCTCCAGCCAAAATGTTGACAGACCATTGTCGAGAGGCAGTTTTTTAGTCATTTATTCACGTTTCTCTCTCGCTCACTTCTATTTACATTTTGCTTTATTCTCATCTCGCTTTCGCTTGTGTTCAGCGAGAGATAGATGAAACAAGTTAAGACAATAAACAAATAAGCGCTATAATCCTGAGTTGCGATCTTTATAACCCTGTCTTATGTTTTACGTAAACTATTCGTTAATTATTCTTATTTTTATAATTTGTTTATAAATTTTCCAGTGATTTAATTAACCAAATTAACTCTTAACGCTGTATCTGTTAATTATAGTATTAAATTTGGAAACTGATTTATTAATTAATATGTAAATTACACGTAACACACATAAATTATATGTTTATAAAATAAAATAGTTTTATAAAAGGAGTGTTACTTTTATAACAAGACAAAATACTTTTATAACAAATACTGTACCAGTATATAAAAATCTATACTAAATAAATAAAAATTGAAATTAAGAGTATTACCAAATTATGCAGATTATATTATGAATTGACATGATGATAGAAATATAAAATGTTTCGCAAAACATATTTGTCGAACGAGTAATTTCGTTATGATTAACGAATTTTTGGTTGGGTAAACTAAGAGAAACGAATCATTTGGTTGCGCCTATTTCGACGAATTTCAGTGTTTTGCGTACGCACTAAATATCTCGGTTGCAAATGCAAAAGGAATTTGTTCTGACTCACCTTTGTCGAAGGAAGCGGGGCCTCGGCGCTGCGTCGTCGATGCGCCAGTGACTCGTGATTTTGCCGATGGCTCTTCTGCAACAACAAAATTCGCGATTAGCCCGTGGATTGGTCGCCACAGCCCATCGATTCGGTACTTAAGCCTGGGTGTTTGCTCTCGACTATAATCGCTCGCGATGTATAGCTCGCGGTCGAGCTTAGGGGACGAGCTACGACCGAAAAACGTGGAATTCCGAGACCGGAGAATTCGCACGGCTGGCGACGCCTGTGTATCTCGTCGTATGAGAGATCGATTCTCCGGCATCCCGGTATGCCGATGATATTAACGATCGTTTTCAACCGTTATCTTTTGATAAAAACGATGCGAGATCTTACAACTTTTTGTTGTGTTGCGCTGTAAGCTCAAATATACGCTATGTCATATACAGCTTCGCGAAAAAAGGAAGAAAATACTCGACTCGAGGATAGTCAACTACGCTAAACTAAAATGAATTTAACTGAAACTCAAACTCAACTGTGTTGTGCGGAAATTCAATTAAAAACAAGGCCACTCTCTAGGGAGAGACTCGGAACCGATACTGCTAAATTGTGAAGTACTGAAGAGTTGTCCGACGACATTTATTGACTACGCAGAAAGTTCATAGCAGAAAGAGACTGCCTTGCAACTGTTGTAAAATTCACAAATCCGATTGAGATATATATATATATATATATATATATATATATTACTCTAAATTCAATTTAACGTTTTAATAACGTATATCAGTCAAATTCACTAATTTTGCAAAAGCTGCGAATTTTCTTTCGCTGAACAAACGATGTTGGAGGGCGATTCCACGTTGTGCTCAGCAATTCTCACGGTTATTAAATAATTTTGCCAATCGATCCTTAAGGAATTTCGCATTAATAAGCGATCACTGTGCAACACAGTCTGGTTACATGGTACGAGTTCAGTTGACTCTTCGACGCGCGGCGACCGACTGACTTTCGGCAGACGACAAAGTACACACACGTGTACATGCATAAACATGTGTACAGTTTGACCTACAAGTGTCAACTGCATTCCATACACAGTGTGTTTCAGTGTTACATACACCACGCTAATATAACGCAAATTGAATTAATAATTTGAAATTAATTATATTAAAATATTTGAACTTTGGTATTCGCGTCACCAGCGTATGTTTATTGACAACTCGCCAGCAATGACACAAAATATTTCCTATTTGTCATATTTTTTAATGTTAATATATTTTTGGGAAGCATCCTTGTGTTGTCAGAGCCATTTCCTCGCATGCGATCGAATATAAACTAACTAATTGAAATATGATTAAGAATTATTGAAAGTATAATGTATAATAAATAATCAGAAACAGAACTATAAAGTGAAATAATTGTGCGTGCAATAGTCGAAGAGATCAACAGAACACGAAAAACTCATTTTTATAATTCTGCTGCATATCGAACTCACATGCACACGTATTCTCGGGTACGCTTATAGCTATTTTTCTAGGCCTTTAATGTTGCATTAAAAATTTCAACAACGCGAGATGATAGTCAAGATGTCGATAGAATAAAAAGACGCTCCGATATCGACGATACGTCGGCGCGTTCGCGAGACTTTAATAAGTAAACATCACGCAAAATGCATCGCGACGTTTTGCGCGACGAACAGCGATGCTTCCAACGTGACGCGTCACTTCGCTGCGACACGACGTATTTTAAAAGTGACTGACACACTACCAAGTCCGTATAATATATTTACATATTAGCGCGCGGAAAGCGGAGGGACATGGCCCGAAATACGCGAATTCGTCCTGACGGCGGCGGTATTATTTCGAAAACCGGGAAAGCCGCGACTCTCTCCCCCGATGATGACGCGGGCGCATCGTTCGCGGCACACCTTCAGTTTTCATTAAGCAAAGCGTATCGCGAAAATTAGACACGTCAACGAAGGAGCCAGTGACGGCCGATAATGTGATACTTGATCATCGTATGATCAAGTGACGAGTCCGTCGCGAGATTAGTTCCGTCTACATCCGTCTACATCCGCCTGTATGCACGTGATGAATTCGCTCGATGGCCTCGATAATTACTTCCCGTTACCTTTTTTCCTCTCTCTGTCTTCCACTTTCTTGTTTCCATATGGACCACGCAATACATGGCACAGAAACGACGCGTCAAGGCGTCGGGAAGGATTATTCCGAGCATCGCGAGCGATATCGGGAGAGGAGACGGTGGAATTTCCGCCGGCGGAATTCTTGCGCTAGCCGAGGAATTTCTGGGCTAAAGAAATCGGGAGAAGCCGGCGACGCAGAGAGCAACGAGGAGCAAGCAGCAGCAACAGCAGCAGCAGGTCGACGGGCGGAGTGATCCCGCGCGCACTCCGTCAAATCGACGGAAGTCGTTTCCAAGCTGCGCCTGGCGGGAGTTCGGAATAGTTCGACGAAGAAACCGGCAAAACTGACACCACCCGCGAGCGGTATTTGCGAGCGGAATCGCTGCGGCTCGGCCGTTCGCGGTTTCCACGCTGGGAGGTGCTGGAGGAGGAGGAGAAAGAGGAGGAGGAGGAGAGCCGGAAGTGCCGTATCTCGAGACGCATACACACGTATTGCATACACATCCAACGGGGGTTAATTCGACAGTTGCCGTCGACGTGGACGACGAGAATGTTCTCTCTCCCTCGGATTCTATCCGAAGTATTCCGAATATAGAACGCGCCGGCCGCAAACTGACCGCTAACCGGTGATTTTTTAGGAATCCGAAGGTGACTGACGCGCCGCCTCAGCGCCGATAGCTCGATATCGATCTCTATGTGTCTCTCTCTCTCTCTCTCTCTCTCTCTCTCTCTCTCTCTCTCTCTCTCTTGCTTTCTCCACGGCTTTAGCGGCAGGAGGGAGAGAGGAGACCCCTGCATCTGACCGCCGAATCGGAGCATCGGCGGATAATTCGCCGCCACATACGCACGCGGCATGCACACGCGCATACGTGTGCGCGAAAATCGATGCCCGACTATTCTGGCATCGACGCGTTTACACGCTAATACCGCGACGGCTTAACTTCGCCCGCTAATGCTGCCGGCTATCGCAATGGCGAACACGACTTTTGCCTCTGGACCCTGACTCGACGTCTCGAGAGATCTCGTCCTCAAAATATTCTTCTCAACCCTTGCCGCCTTCTTGCTTAATGGGTTAACGTATTGAGTTGCGCGACGCCATCTCGCGAAATCTATCCTCTTAATCCCGCGCAGCTAATGCACAGAAATTTCGTCGCACACGTCGGATTTCAAACGCGACATTTCCCGCGGAAAATACGGCGGGAGTTTAATTCGCGCGCGCGAACGCGAGGAAGGCTATCGTGGATTCACCTTGCCGCCGACTCTCTCATTTTGGTTTTCAGAAAAAAACGCGCACGCCGTCTCGCTCGCGCGGTTTGTGAAATGCTTTCGAAATTGCGAGCAAATTTTTGCAACGCACCGCGCGCTCGCTCGCTCGCGGACGGCAACTTTGTGATGCATGCTCGGTCTTAATTAAGCTCGTACATCTTGCTGGATGCGCCTCTTGAAAAATACTGCTAAAGTTCGCCCCGGCGTGCGTCTATCATGCTTTAATGCCACTGATGTATGTTTCTCCTTGAACCCTTTGACGCATTTGGCGGCCACATGGCTCCCCCCGCTCACAGGATTTCTCACGCGACGCGCGCGGCTTTAAATATATCGACGTCGTATTAATGTGCGACGCTCCCTTTTACCGATTCCGAATCCGTCGGGGACCGTCCGCGGCCGCGTAAATGATAGGGTGCACGTGGGAGGCACGAATAGCTCGAAGCAGTTGTATGCCGGCGCGAGAGGAAGAAAGAAAGTGCGCGCGCGTGAATTGCCGACTCGAATTGCGGCGGGTGAGCGCCGAATTGCGCGCTCCCGTTGTAATTCGAGTGCGAAACTACAGGGGAAACTTCCTCCCGGAGACATGTATCTCGGTCTCTCTGCGAGATAACGTATAGTCGCGCCGTTTGTCACGGAATCTCGCGCTACGCACACGCCCCCGGTTCTTGCGCGCCCACATCTTCTCGCAGCTCGAGCCCGTACGTTTCCGGTTACTGCGCGAAGACCGACTCCATCGCGGATCATTAAAGAATTTCCAACTGCGGCCTTATGGGCCGCACATATTTCTTAACGTGCAATTTAACTCTACTTGATAAAGCCGGTGCAAACGTACGCCACATCCTTCGCGTACGTACCGTGACATTCTTCATGCCTCCAAATGTGTTCCCTCTTCCCCACCCCTCTCGCGGACCTTCCCGCGAGAGGGACGATTTTACATACGGAGAGAAATATGTGCCGAAATATTTCTTATTGGAGTCAAATCAACGATACAAATTAATATATGGTCCGACAATTTTCCTGTTTTGCCTGTTATAATTTTTACGTTAATAAAAGAAAAAAGAAACAGATGCACACTGTAGGTATTTGAAATCACGTCGAAATGGCGGGGAGAATTGATATGGATATTTCGTATCAATCTCGCGTTAGAATTTCGCCAGAGAAATACCGAATCGAGTCTAAGTATGAAGAATGGCGAAAATACGTGGAACCAACCGCCACGTGAAACTGCAAAATAACACGAAAAACGACGCCGACGTATGTGTGTGTGCATGTGCGCGACTCAAAAATTCCGGCAGACATGCCGGAACGATGTAAAGTGGGCGCGCCGCGGCGTATCTGCTTATAATTCGAGTGTAAAATCGCAAAATAACGCGACGCGAAATTCCGACGCCGACAGCTCCGGGGGAGGAGGGGGGAGCGACCGGGAAAACTAAGTTTCCATAGGCTGTATATTTCACGTAGGGCGGAAGGTGCAGAACCGCAAAACAATAGGAGCCACCACCGCCCCTTTTTCGTAGACGTCTTCCCGAATCGACCGCGCGCGAATCGCGCGAGCCTCCCCAGCGCGTTCTCCGCTCTTCTACCTTTGCCCGAAGAAAAATGTCGGCGCGGCAACCGAGATCCGGTGAGCGGAGGAAGGGAAGGAAAGAGAATCCGCCGAGTTACCGGAAGTAACGCGCGAAGACGAACG